ATATAACGTGACTTAACACTTTATCGTTTTTATAGAATCTTCTCACAGGTTTCGCGAGGCATACTACGTTATAATGATAGAATAATTACTCATTAATTAATTAATCGCTAAAATACTATTTGTTATTCGTAGTGAATTCGATTGGATGCATCGGTACACACTGGTGCATAATAAAGACTTATGTACAAGTCGATATAAAACGATGTAATCGAATTAAGATAGAACTTAAGATAAATTTATACAGAATATGTACTTTAAATGTACATTAAATATAATGTACATCTATCTCTTGGTAAAATTTTCATTAATTAAGGCTCTTTGCATTTAGATAATTTGGTGTTCAATAGTGAAGTTATCATTTATCAGTTATCTGCACCAGTGCGCAAAAATTGTGACTTGTAATGTTCAAAATTACAATATTAGGATTTATTACGATATATAATTCGGCCGAGCGTGAGAGTGGTTGAATTAATGTTAAGATTTATCCGGTAAAGTGATAAGATAATCTATAACAATAATTCATTGGTATCTCTTAGGATCTAACTTTCTGATTACATTAAATGCAACAAAAAGTTAATCAAAATAGCATACACGTACACTAGGTGTCATAAATGTTTTAATACATACTGAATGCATTTTCCAGAAATACCAGGAAAAATCGTTAACAAAATCGTGTACAAAATATTCGACGTGATTTTGATCGTACGTTATATGTTAAATAAAAAGATATTTTTCATTATAAAACTGTTATAAAAATCTTGGCGAAACTTCTGTCGAAGTATTCCGAAAGGTGCTGATTTGTGACTGTTAAGGTATTTATGACGCTTGGTGTACTTTTCTTCTATATATTTTTCTTTAATGTCTTCCAAACGCGTCGACAACATTGAGCATTCGATAATCCGCGACACTTGAACGCCTATGAGATGCATTGCGCGTGACGAAAATTAGTTGCCACCGATACTACTTGGAAGACTGACTCGAGATCTGAGATATCACTGCGGGTTCTCCTTCACGTAAACACGCACAAACACAAAAATAAATTACATTTCCATTCGTTTCGTAGTCCATTCAATACCTTTTACGAGCTTGCAAATATTACCCTGAGTGCATCGCTTTCATACTCGAGAGAGAGGGAAGTCTTTTCTGAGTGTACTTCATTGGAAGAAGATAACATTGATTTAAGCGATCGGTAATCGTTGATTACGTTGCATTCCGTCACGCACATCGTCGTTGAACACCTTAATTAAATTTTATATTCTTCGGCGTATTTTCTCGCGATCTTCGATTCAGGTATACCCTTAGAAACGTCTCTTTTGGGACTAGGACTAGGACTAGGCGAGGAACTCGGCGATCTTGAGCTACTGGAGCTTGATCTAGCGCGTTGCTTTTGCTTCCTTTGAATCTTGTAATCGTACAAAGGACCGCGGATAATTTTCAGCGTGTTCTCCAATTCATACGCCCGATTCTTCAACGAGTTGTACAGCTCGATGTCGAGACCGGCCTTTCGCGCTCTTCTATGAAGGACTATTAGGTGACGCCTGTTCAACACGTCTGGCAGCATGTATTCCTAGGTGAAGATATATGAAGAAAAATCGTGATTGATCGTGCCGAATTACGCGCAATCCATTCATTTCATCGTGCAATCCATTTCTGATGATTCGCAACATTCTATCATAGGACAGTCGATACTCTATTCTCTAAAACCAACCTGTCTAGTCACGAGGTAATAAATAAACCACATCATAGTAGTGCCATAAGTGACGAAGTAAGTGACTGGCTCCATTATATCCCACGAGTATTCCCACCAGGTTAATCTGGCCAACGCCCCAAATTGGATCGACATCATGACTAGGAAGGTCCAGATAAAAAAATTTGCCTTCTTGTAAGCGGCGTTTTGTATCTCTTGCAATTTCTAGAACGATTAATAGAAGATGTAAAAATATTCCGTATCGTTCATGTTTTACCCTAAAGTTTTTTTAGCAAAGATAATTTACTTCCGACGCGTATTTCTCGAAGCAATTCAGAAAAGAAGGTCGGAAATGGATGAATAGGGAGTGGAAGCTGAAACGACATCTTTTACCCTACCTCGTTATTTCATAAAGAAGAGAAAAGAAAAAGACGCGGGAAAATATTTTGCAGACATTCTCCTCTTATGGCATTGCATAACAGCGAGGCGCGATGCGCACAAAGGTGGGATTAGAAAAGTATAGTTGCTCGTCTGATCGCGTGTGCGAGACACGACGCGGGTGTGTTAATTAGAACGCTCAAGAATATGGCATTTAAGAAAAACCGTAAAAACCAGAGTCGGGACGCAGTGAGAGAAAACGGACAATGGAAGTGTGCCCGCGTTTAAATCCGATTTACGCGCGATAGAAAGCCAATTTCGTTTGGAGCGCCTCATTTCAAGAATAATTAAATCAATTCAAATAAATCTGATTACCACTCCTCTGGATATGCACCACGTAATTTGCATTCGTCCTGCTCTATGGTATGATAATTTTTTCATATCTTTTACCTGTTCCATAGGCACCAGCTGTAATCTAATGTCTTCCAACTCGGCGATGACCGATCTCTCCATGTCGACGTGATATTCCCGCACATGGAACGCCTCGTACAGTTGCCCAACGAGCGCTTGTACATCCTCGAGTTTCTGCAGATCTTCCTACAAAAGCGGGAAACGTATACGTCGATACTTGCGGATAGTTCGACAAGGGAAACATGTGTGACCCACGAAAGACATGACATGATAATATATTGCATTTAAAGAAATATCGCTGGAGAGAGTCTAATCGATCAACAAGTTGCAACTACTAGGGGTCGTTTAGAAATTTAAAATTATAATAATAGAAAGCTCGTTTTTATGTGACAACTCACTGTTGTGCACCTTTCTTGCATCGGCGGCGAGACAAGATATTCGTTATCGTTTATTAATAATTTAAAATCCTCTTCTAAAAGCGATTCTATCGTGTTACTGGAAGATATCCTGACGCCATCTGAAAAACAGAGAAAAAAAAAACCGATAAAGATCTGTATCTTGTAATATTGTGCGAGGATTTTATTTGATTCTAATTCGTCTCTCCGGGCACCAATTAGCTGCCAAGGAAATTACTTGTAATTGATATCTCACCTAACGAAGTTATACACGCTCGATCGATGCCGCGATCCTCCGTCTTCAGCATATCTAAAAAATTGCCGACCGTGTGCGTTATCGGCTTCATGGTGAATGAGCAGTGTTCCCTCCTGGATGGAAGAGGCACCGTGATCCTGGGAAGGCCCCGATGATATGTCACGGTGACATCTGAACCTGCGTTAATATGCTTTCATTAATATTCTGCATCGTGTAAAAAGATAAACATAATAATTATGTTCCACCATAATAAATATTATTAATAAGCCCCCCGAATCTTTTTGTGTATAAATGTTGTTTACAATGTTTATTATTCTTACTTTCTCACAGATTTCGCAGTGTTAACAGCATTCCGTTTCTATTTTCTAAATCTGTATTCGATTGCGTGAATCACGCGGATATCTCGGGTGGTAAAAATATAATACGACTTGCACGTAAAAGAAATATGTATATAATGCGCGTGCGCGTGCATATACGATGGTTTTGCGTTATACATGTTACTAAAATTTCGAATGAGAAATGTTCGCGTTCGGATATAAAATATAAAGCTGCACGCCTTTAAGCCAAGCTTAAACTTTTTTCATTTCATACAAAACCATACAAAATCAATAATATTGTTATAAAAAACTATTTAATTATTGTTAGTATCAATTAATATCCATTTTTTACATATTTAATTAATATTTAAATGAACCTACTCTTAGTAACAAACCTACTCTTAATTTAATTAAATAATATTGAAAAATATTAATTGTTTTGCGTAACAATTAAAACGCAGTCAGAACGGAACATAATGCTTCGGTGAAGCAATAGAAATGTATAAATATGCGTAATTATAGAAGCATATTAAACATTAGTTATACGCTACATACTTGCTTTATGTTATACGTTCCTCATATACTGCGTTATGTGCGATATAAACTCAGCAATTTTCGAGTATAATGAAATAAATGATTGGACAAACTTTTAATAAAAATCCTCAATTTTTCAAGCCACTTGATTTAACATCTGACGAATTAAAAATTAAATTGTGTGAAAAATAAAGTAGTAAAGTAAAATTAAAATGTATCCTCCAAAATATAATCGAAAAAAAAAATATAATAAATCTCTTGTTAAAATCGATAAATACTGTTTGATGAATTTTGTCTTGACGAATTAAAAATATTATGAAGATTGTAATATAAAGATCGTAATATAAAAAAGAGGAAGGATCTGCGGGTCCGGCAAAATGCACCGTTTCCGCGACTTCGCTCGCGTGATAATCGCGCAATCGAGAGCTGGACTATATTAACCTGGTTACGAGCCGTTGATATGAGGAAGGTATTAGAGTGTGGAGAACGAAATGAGACGACCGGGGATCTTTCCCGCTGTAAGCAGAACGGAACCAAGCGTTAATCCGCGTGCGCTAACGATCTTTGAAAATGCATCTTTTGGCGTAAGAACCGCCTCTATAAGTTCCTCAAATTCATTGAAGGCGCTAAGCCAGTAAACAAGAAATTAATTTAAAGAGCCATATTATCCTAGAATACTGAGAAATTGCGAAGCATTTTGCAGACAAGTGAAATGAAAGCTCCAATGCAAAAATGTTTTTGCCTTGTAAAATAAGTATAAAATGTAAAATAAACCTTGAAATTCTAATCCAGTATAATATTCTACCTAACAATGAAAAAATATTACAGAGGAAAAATATTTTTAAAAGAATATGGAAATTGCAGATTTTAATAGATATGCAGCATATGATTAGATATAAAAATTTCTCGTATTTGATGTTGCTACAAAATGATCTAACACACAAAATCGGCGTTTATGATGGATGAATGGATAAATGTAGAAAGATTTATACCTTTTTCGATCAAATAAATCCGTTATAAAATATACAGACATATTGTAAGATAAAATACTTTTCATATCAAATGTAACCTACAAAATAATTTGAAAATTACGCACTGAGATTGCGCATTTTGTTTCTCTAACAAATTATTATTTTTTATTTATAATGAAAATATAATTTTTTGCGGATAAAATACTCAACTCTTTTCAAAAAAGAGAGAAATATTTCATATTGTATTAATTTTTATTTGAACACATTTTGCAACGTATATAATAATGAATAGTTACTATATACAGATATATACAGATATTAAATACTGAATCATTGTCGTGTCCATCATATGTATATAAAATCATGTATAAAATATATTTGTTTACTTATTACTGACATATGCATAAATGACCATCGGTATCATTTTGTGGGAGTTTCGCGGTACGTAATCGGTGATCGTTTGTCATTGAGAGTTCTCGTCTCGAAAGGGAAACTGTTAAAATCTCTCGAACATTCGAAGGTGTGATTGCTGAAGGGGCGATCAGCGACGATGGACGGTAGCCGCAATTTCTTAGATGGGAATTCGGTCCCGTGTTAATTGCACGTTTCTTAAGCGAACACAGGCAACGTCCGACAATTAGTTACGCCTCCCTCCACGCAAATGATGGACGACGAGACCCGTGTGCATCGCAGTGTGCATCGCCCGCGGTAGTAGGTTGGCACGCAGATGGAAGTGGCAAGAAATCTACCACCACCAAGCCGTATGCCTCCCTTCTTCCAACGTCCACGGTACGACGCGATGGTAAAGTTTTCTGTACCATCACAGTCTACCATAAGATCCTGCACAATTATTAAGTGGCGTGACCGTGGCAATAAGTCGACATTGTATAGTAGTTCCTTTTCTTTGGTGACACAGCACCCCGAGCTTTTTCAAGCTGCCCTAAGTTTGCGAATCGAAATTGCCATTATTTTTCGGGGATGTACGATTGACGAGCGCCGAGGGAAATTCCCGAGGGTAGGTGGATATTTATGACACTTGCCAGATTGACCGTTCGACTTGTGACATTTCCTGAAAAACCTGTTGTCCATTAGTATCCAAGTAATCGCGCAATGATACTCTAGGGATTCGCGTGGATCCCTAGAATAAGGAATCAAAAGGTTCGAGGCAAGAAAAAAAAAGGATGAGATCACAGACTGTCGCGTGAAATTTATTTCGATGTAATTTTAAAAAACGGAGAAATTTACAAATTTAATCAATACGCTAAACCCTTAGTGTAGCTATTTCGTGTAGTTTTGTGCATTATTAAATTTAATTTGTTTTTGTGAAATCTAGTTTACTTATTACACGCTCCGAATACTATGACTAGCGGGCCAAACATGTACGGTTGAAACGAAAAGAAAACATATTAAATTTAATTCTATAAATGCAGTTGCTATGTTATTAATATGCTGTTATATAGAGATAAATAATCTCATAAATTTAAAAATAAAAACAATTCAGTTCGTAATAACTGTAACATCAACAATAAATTCTCTTAAAGATATAAAAGTTTTCCATACCAATAATAAAATATATTTCAATAATAATATGCATAAATTAGATTTTTAATCTACAGATATTTTTTTCTAATTGTAAAAAATTGTTAAGAAACATATTTCAAGAATTGTAAGAAAATATTTCGCATATACGCGCTCACTTTTCTATTCTTTTTTTAATTACCGTTCAACTTTCAACAGAAACCAAATTGTGAAGAAATTTACGCGCCGATGATCGTCTAGAAAGTCTCTGAAGCTCTGACACGTGGAAATATCTTCGAATCGGACGCAAAAGAAGGAACGATATTCTTGCGTAATTAATAAGCTCCGCGCGAGTTAAATTTATCTCTGAGAAATTACCAAGAGAGAGCACGAAATTATTTATGTTTTCATCTCTCTCATAAGAAAAAAAGAAACACAGTGAGACTATAATTCGTGTATCATGCACTTCGCAATGTTTGATAAGATCTTGGGATATGGGTCGGATCTGTTTAACTGATAGTTCGTATGATAGTTCGTAATTATGATTAAGTTATGATTAAGACGAGTAAGTATGCTGAAGTTTCACTTCCCTTTTTAGCCGTAATATTACATTATTTCTTATTAGATGTCACCTCATAATTATTATAGTAATTAGAATGGGTGACATTTGAAATATAAGTATCTTGATAGCGTATATCACAAAAGAAGTATCATATTCCTCCAAATAATATATAAATTACATGAGAAAAGGCATAAAATTCAAATTTTATGTGTTTGCATATATGTATTTTAATATTTTCTAGACTTATAAATATACATATAATATAATATCCCTAAAAATATAAATTTTTATATTTTTTTTTATTGATTGATTATTTTAAATTTTATTGACTTAATTTTTTATTGATTTACTTAATTTTCAATTTATAATTTCGCAAAATGTTCACTTTCTATTAAGAGTAATATGCACTGTATAAAATGAGTATAAGGCTACTGTCATGTTGATAACAACTCGATTTTTCGTAACGCGTGAATACTCATGGGTTAAAGGGATCTGAGACGCATGGATAATATATGAGTATTCCCCGAGGGTGCCTGAAGCTGCAAGGTGGGTGTACATGATCTCGGTTAGATATTGGACTAACGCTGTTCTGCCTACATATACCGCATATCCATATAAATGACGGATTAAAATATTTCGAGTTTATACTGCCTGAGAGAGAGATAGAGAGAGAAAGGGAGGGTGGCGGGAGGGAGAGAGTCTTTCTATATCAAACATCTATCTCATATTTTCATCAGAATGTTTAATTCATTATTGTTAATTCCTGCGTAAAATTAAAAAAACATGGATATAAAAGACCTTGTTACTCTATAAAGATTAAAATTAAATATTTTAATCAAGAGATTTCACGACATATAATTTAAATTTGTTAAAATTCATTTCAGTGATTATTTAAAATAATACAATAACAAATTTGTAACAATTAAAATATTATTAAATACTTAACTACTTGCAAAATTGTTTTAAATAAATTATTGATTTTTAATAATGCGTAATATGAAAATGGTAATCAAGCAATAATTAAAAATAATAAATAATAAAATAATAAATAAAAATATGGAACATCTTAAAAGTATATATATCTATATTTCGATTGTAAAAGTCTATCAATTTCTCAATATCTACTTTAAAAATTCCATTTAAATTTATATAAAAAAAAAAAGATAAGTAATGTATTTTGTTTAATTAAATTATTAGGTCAAAAACCTTGACGGTCATGACCTTTTCCGGAAAAACATCAACGTAGGAACATCTCTCAGTTCACAATACAACTCTCCTGGTCTCTCCTGTCTCGAATTTATACTCTTCTTGAATCGATTTTATTTACGAGAAAGTTGCACGCTAATGCCATCTAGTAACGACTTATGGTACGAGAAATACACTGAATATACAGAACTATATAATGAGGGAGCGAAATAGACGATAGTGGGAGCTGGAACTTCGTCGCAGATGTTTTTCTGTACGACGTACGTGCAAGCTTCTCATTTTACTCGTTCTATGGAGCTTTCTGAAATATTTCATGCTTTTTGAGACACACTAAATGTACTATACGGATATCTCGAGCACGTGTATTCTATACGTGTATACTATACCTCAAATTTCACAGCGCCGTGCTCAGTCTTTCGGTAAAAATTGGATAATCTGCTGCTCTCGCGCTCGTAGAAGAGCTCGTCGAGCGAGCTCTAAATGTATTTGAAAACGAGGTTGACAATGTGCTCCTAAATGGCCCCTTTCACGTTGTTGTTTATATGACCGCCATTAGATAGGTAAACAGCGCAGAAAAAAGATCGGCTTACATCATCGTTTTACTGGCGTCCGCTTTGTTTAAAGATCTAAACTAACTAATTATGCTGTTAAACCGACTGGTTATGCATTATACACACATAATTATACACTGAATGTAAATTACAGGCTGTACAACCTGTCTTTTGTTACCTCTGGCAAGAGAGCTAAATTTAAACTGTGTAATACTGTACTGTAAACTTTTAACGGGGTCCTAAATTGCGATAAGTGAGCTGGGAGGCACCATTAATCATACCCCAAGAACCTCATGTACATTTATTTAGCACTATAATTGCACTTCTGAATCTTTTATAGCAAGCGTTTTTGCCGCTAGCACTCTTGTTAGCGCGATTCCAAGTGTATTATAAATGATATCACACTTCTTGCCTGTATTTTTTGCGTTATGAAGCTATATAATTGAACTAACGATCCGCATCGAGCCTGTTGAACATTTCACCACAGATTTCGATACCGATATCATTTATCCAGCATCTCATTCATCCGCTCACTCGCAAAAAACGACGAGATATATCTGTTTTTCCGATTAAAAGTCAACAATCAATCACAAACGAGTAATCGATACGATTATTAATGACACAATCTCATCGCAAATTCTTCTCAATATTTGATATATTCTGTTCTCAATAAGATTTATCGCTTTCCAATTAGAACATCTAAATAAAGAGATATGCCGTCGAGATCACCCCGCGCAATCACCGTAACTTTTGAACATTTGCAAGATGCATGAATGAAATACTAGCATATTATTTGCACGATATAACTCCTCTTAAATTAAATATAAATTTCTATCCAGGTCTCTTCGTGGTTGGCTATGGGCGGTGTGCAGAGCGGAACTCATAATCTTGGAGAGGCGTTATGGGTGCAGGAACGACAGCGGCAGAAGTGCCATCGGTGAGTAGCAGTTTCCTTTAATAATGCACGCGCGAAACGCCGTCCACGGTATTAAAGCAGCAAGACACGCGATCGATGTCGGGACACTTGAGACGAAATTCGGGTTAAATTTCGGAAAGAGATTAATTTTAGCTTTCCAAGATGGCCAACTTTTTTTTCCTACTAAAGAAAACTCGATAAAATGTATATATTACATCTCTCAATTAATTGCTCACAATGTTCTCCGTTTTTTTCTACGCCGAGTCATCTTAAAGACTGATGAAGGTACTTTAATGACCGTCTTAGAGAGTATTTCTTTATCTGGACCGGCAATTCATCAATTCAAGTGTCGAAAAGTTTCAGTAATTACAAAGTGATATCTTCCTCGCGAAAGTACGAAATCGAGTCTCGTTTCTCTCTCTCTCTCTC